TCGTACAAGAGGAACTTTGGCGAACTTGCAGAAGAGTTCAGTTTGAGAGTTTTAGAGAGTTCCTAGAGTTTGTACATAAGAGCTTTGGAGAGCAGTTTTGAGAGTTGTATTGATTTGAGAATAGTAATTTGAGCGATTTAGAGAGCAATATGTACAGAGTTGAGAGTTTGAGAACTTTGTATATGTTGATTAGTGGAATTTTATTCTCTTTTCTTTATTGCATTTTTTATTTGATTAATTAAATAATTAACCCATAAATCAATTCTAAATTACATTGCTCTAAAAAAAATTATATATTTATTTATTGTTTAAATAACTCTTGAATTTTATATGATTTATAACGCTCTTTGTTATCTCACTAACTAAAAGGATAGGTGATAAGTTGAAGATTAGAGATCTCAAATGTTTCAAAGATAAAAAAATATATTTGAAATATCAAAACAATTCAAAGTCTTCCACATAATATTACTTGCGTTAGAATCTTTAAAGAGGGGTCCTTCGAGTTATCTCAAGAATAAAAATTTTTTTGGGCTAAGACGATAGCCAACAAATTATCATTTATGCTGAGTGACATTTGGGAGAGTAATGAGTGTTTGTAAGTTTCTCCACTCCCGTGCATTTGATGGCATAGGAGACTTTGAAGATCTCAATTAATCAATTATTTTGATTAATTTTAATTTAACTAATTTTATTAAATATTAATTAACTGAATTAGTTATTTAATACTTAAAAATCAATTTTGATATTTTAGTTAAATTAATATTCAAATTAAATTTCCCTTTGAATTTTGAAAAAATTTCAGCAACCTCCCAGCGTCTCCTCCCCACCGAGAGAGAAATCGGGACGGCACTGTCGTAATTCTTCCTATCCGGACCTAAGGTCGACGGCGTAGGGTCTTTGATTTCAAACCATCTCACCAGGATCTAAGATCAACTGCGTGAGGTCTTCAAATTATAAAACCATCCGCCCAGATTTAAGATCGATGGCGCGGGTCTTCAAATTTAAAACCATCTGCCCGGATTAAAAATCAACGGCGCAGGTCTTCAATTTCAAACCATCCCGGTCGGACCTAAGGTATGATGGCCGGGGTCTTCAACATTTATTTGAAAGTCCTCTCTTTTTTTTAACATAATAAATTTTTATTATATATATATAATATATATTATAAGATATGTATTATATATATTAATATATAGAGAGGGGGATGGGGAAGGAGCAAAGCCCGATCGGGCATGGAGGAGGCGGAAGTCATGCACGGGCTGGGCGTCGGCAGGCGGCGGCGGAGGCGGCTCAATCCGGTCGGTGGGGTT